TTTCTAGTTACTACTTTTTTCGATGTTTCTACAATGACATTTATGACGAAAAAAAATTATAATAAAATTTAATAACTAATAATAACACTCATTAAACTTAACTGTAGTCTCAAATCTGGACTTTGTAAAATACTATTATTAGTTGCTATTTTTTTGCTAGTTGCTAGTTGTTATTTTTTTTTTCGTTACTTAATTACAAAAAAAAATTTACGCTTGGGTGTGTAAAGAATTAAAGTAAAGTTATATTTTTTGCTTTTTAATCTATAAAAAAACGTTTAAATAGTTAAATAAAAATCGGTTGTGTCCGTAATATGGAATAAGAATAATGAATTAATAATTTACCAGACGTAGACACTAAAAACAGAGAAAAACTAATGATTAGAAACATGTTTGTTCTGTAATGTAGATGAGACTACTTGATGCAGTGTAAAAGTTTGTCTTTATTTATATATGTTTCGTTTATCGTTTAAAGATACATAATTATTCACAAATAATCCGTTGGATTTGTGAAGAAAAGTATCGTTATCGGGGCGGAAATAATAATACTTACGTTACCTTATTTGATGAATGATAGTACATCAAAGTAAATATTTACTAATTCCTTTGTTTTTTTTTTTTTTTAATTTTATTTGCAACTTAAGAATCCAAGCTTAAACTTACTTCTGTTTTCTTCATTCCATGAGCCAAATGTTAGATATTGGCTGTTGATTATGACTTTCGTGTCACACAAAATTTAACAAATACACTCCTCTATTCCAAGTTTAATGCATATATTTTCACGCTGTGGTAATTATTACTGTTTATGAGGTTCTTTTTTCATTTACCGCAAAAACCGTTTTTTTGTAGCAAATAAAAAAGTTTACATTAGGTTTTCAAAAATTTTCACCTTTACTCCAGTTCACTTGAAATAAAAAGGTTGTTTTTCAAATTTTCTGCTACTTACAATTTTTTGTTCCCAGTTTAATGTATTCCAAAAACATTTGTTTTGAATGAATTTTGCTTACTCATAGCTTTAATATATACAAGTTGATTCTTGTAAGATTTAAGTATAAAACTGTTAACTATTATCATTTTATTTAAAGCGTACTAAAAAGGAACCTGAAATCCAAAAAAATCACCTATTAACAAAAGTACTATGTTAAAAAAAAAAACCATATCAAAAAACCACATGAAAAAACTATATGATTTCAGGTGGTTTTCATATGGTTTACAGTGTGCTCTTACTCCGTTAAAAAATTTTTTTTTGTCTAAAATAACCATATGGTTTCAAAAACATTGGGTTTCTTAAAAACATTATGATTTTTTTAAATAAGAAAAAATCGCTATAAATATCAACTATGACACAATTATGAGATCAAATAATTTTTTAAATGTCAATAAAAGGCCACATAAAAACGGAGTAAAATCACAACGTCAACCATATGAAAACCACATTTCATGTGGTTTTCTAATGTAGTTTTTTTCAATAGAGAAGAAGGTTATATAAATTAGATGTGTTAAAACTAAGTATTCTTAGATGCAACCATTTATAGTTTAAAAAAAAAAAACTATAAAAACTAAAAATATTACAACGTCCATTATTTGACTTGCATTTTTAATGTCCTTATTCTTACATATTAACTCTTCATGTTTCATTATTTGAACAAATTTAATTTTCTTCATGAGTTTAGAAATATGAAAAGTGATGGAATAAATCCAACGAAATGTGAAATTTCGTGTTTTCCAGATCAACGTATTCTAATAAATCTAAATTGTCACAAAAAGTTGTTTAGCGAAAATTTTTGTAATTTACTTGATATTTTAGCTATTGCCCTAGTTTTCGAAATCGTTATTATTTTTTTTTAAATTTAATTCAAGATAACCTAAGCACATCTCAAGTTTATAGACGCTCAACACCAGCGATAATTATCGGTATCCCTTTCATGCGATTACACTCCGAAAGCCTGATTACCATCAAAAACAGATTATTTGGACTCACCGGCCATTCCTCCCGGACTTCCTCTACTACACTTTTATCCTCGTTGTAGAAGTAACTTCGCGTATCAATCATTAGATTAAGAACATGGTTATTTATCATTTCTCCACAGTCTTCCATGTACTGCCTACGAATATCCGTACTTTTTCAAATTAACAGTGAGTTTGCAAGGATTCGTTCGACATGTATTGGCTCACATTTACAACCATACCTCAATTGTATTTTAGGGTATCAGGTAAGTATAGAAAAGATAATTTTATCTATAACAATGGCTTAACTGCTGTATAGACTGCTCTGAAGTAAAAATCATTGAAAAGAGAATTAACGTGGAAAGTAACGAGAAAAAAAAATTCACCAGATAGCTCAAATTTAATTTGAGATTTTGTAGATTAAAAACTATTTTTTTTATAATAAAACGAAAAAGGCGAATCCAACATTTTTTAGAACCAAGTCGATCAAAAAATGTTAAAAATTAAAACTTACGATTTTATAATAGTACTAAAAATATAAGTTTAAAATAGGTGTTATTAATTTTACAAAAAAAAAAAAAAAAAGCATACCAATAATTAATATACGGATGCTCTTATTGTTTTTGATAGTATTTGAAATTTTTACAATTTATCAAAATGTAAAAAAATTAATTATTATAAAAGCCTATAAAGGTGGCGCCTTTTTTAATAGTAGCTATAAAAATAAAAGATAATCTTCATAAGGTAGTGAATAATCTCAGTGATAATGATTTTCCTGATATTTTACAAGAGAATCCTATGATTACACTATAGTAATGCAGAATGAGTTAATCAAGTTAATTTGTTTGGTGATCACAAACATTATTTGCCAAACTATATAATATTCCTAAATATTACGGCTAAGTCACATTTTCAGAGTCTGGAAATCTTATTAATAAAACTCATAATTTCTTTAATTAGATCACCTATACATAACACTTTTTTAACATACTTTTCCTCAAAATATAAAAAAGAAATGCACTAAAAAGAATAAAATAAATTGTTTTGCAGATAAGTGGAAAATTTTCTCTTAAAAAAAATCAAAACGCAAAGTGTAAGCGCTGACATATTATTCGTTGATACTTTTTTCTATGTAAATTTATTATCTGCTACCGATGCGATAATTTTTGTCTACGTACACATAATATTCATCAAATCGCTAGCATTTGTATTTTGTGACTTATATATATTGTATCGTTTGTAGTGCGACATACTTATTTTATTTTTGAATCATGACTAAATTATTCGATGTAAACTACTTTTCATTTTTATTTTTTAATGAAAAAAAAAGAAGATCGAATATTATTGTTGCAAAAAATAGAGGATGGATTAATTTTGAAAATTTTAAAGAGTAGGTAATTGATAAAAAAACAAATGTGACAAATGACACCTTGTTCGAGTTCGTGGAACTGTCGGGGGAGATGATGTTTGTTTTGCTCTACTTGCGCCTGTGTAATTGTGACCTGACGACCACTGGTGAATACATAGAAGTGGACGAAGAAAATCAAGGAAAGTATACATGTACATTTTGCATGTGGTAAACTGTTTAACGTTGACTCTTTGGTACTAACGTTTTTATTTTTTTTTTAAAGGTAATTTTTACTGTAAATATTACAAGTGTAAATCGTTGCGATCATTTCAGTTAACACTACTACCTTACAGCTACGTCCGGTACCATAAGAAAAAAAAAAAAAAAAAAAACTACAAATATAAGTACGTACGATCGTCCACTCAAGAATATGAAACGGCACAACCCAAGCGTCTAAAAGTTTACTCGTCTAAAACTCATGGTATTGTTTTGACAAATAAGGGTCAAGCTTTGAAAAAAACTAAGCGCAAAGAATTTTGAATATTTATTTTATAACCACGTACATAGCATTAGTTTAAAAAGGTGCGAGTATATAAATAAATTTTAAAAACGGAGACAGTAATGATTTTTTTGAATTTTAATTCAGTTTACGATGGAGAAAATAATGTAATTGCTAAAGTAAATCATCTCTCAGCAATTTTTTACTTTTGCTTCCTTTTGGTTTAAAATTTTCCTCAGGATTTCGTTTACAAAAGCATTGTGTATCTCGTCCATAAAGGTAGGAAGATTTTTCTTTTCTTTTTACACTTAATAATACAAATACGTATAATTTAAACAAAAATATTTTACGTTGTATCCAATAAATAAAGGCTTCGGCGTGAAAGTAGCTCAATAATTTGTTTGAATCGATTTCCAATTACGTTACGCTACTTCAAACGTTTTGCAGAAGGGTTGTACTGCAACTGAAAATAAATTGTGCACTTGTCAATTGGACCTTTCCACAAGAGTTAGTAAGTATAGTATTTAGTCGCGTAACAACAAAAAAGGAGAAAAATAAATTTTTTCTACGAAGTAGAAATCGAAACATTCGTCTAACGTTGTACAGAAAATGCCGATGAGGCATTCGTGGGTGTCCGTACATTCCAGCTTATTCAAATAATTTAAGCTAAAGAATATGTTACTCAGTTTTATGTGTTTGACGTGGATATTTTGTTTTTTTGACATTGCGATGGCCAATTCGAGAACATTCAATAATCCATACGAACCATCTTTGGTTTCGGGTGTTGTCGATTTTTTCCGGCCCCCCGGAGTCGTACTTGTCTACGATGGTAACGACACAGGTAAAGCAAAAACAACAATCCAATGCATCCATCACTTGCTAATGTATCGTTTTCAGGCCTAAACCACAAGTACCACTTGGTCAGTACCATAAAGGAGCTATCAAAAATGGGTGTGGCATCGCAGGCGGTACCTTTGAGGGAAAAACGTCTATTCCGACTCGCGATCGACCCCAAAATCAACTCCCGACGATCGACGAGTCCTCTGTTCGTTGTCCCGATTTCTGATCAAAAAAACCTCTCGGACCTCAGGGAGGCAATGAGTCGACCAAAGTCGCGTTACTCCGCGACATGCACGTGGCTGTTTTTGTTCGAAAGAGACGCAAAGTGCCAACTGTCGCAGAATAACCCATTTGAGCTGTACTTGGATTCAAAAGTAATTGTCAAGAAGAGAGAAGATGCTGTTCTCAGACGATACTTTGGGGTTGTAAACAATGAGACCGAAACTAGAGATTTGGCCATTTGGGTGAAAAATCAGGATCTGGAATTATTTGACGATTTCAAATTGATCCCTACAGATGTCCTTCAGAAACTCACTCTGAAGATTGCCAGGATATATTCTGTAATAAACCAATTGAATTATCTACTGTGTAGTTAAAGAGAAAAATTTTAACTGATATTGAATTCGTATGTACTTGTAGTTCAAAAAACACGACGGCATTGGCCCCAAAGTCATCGAATACTCGATGAACCGATTTTTGAATGATCTTATTGATTCGATAAAACTTGCTTCTGGATTGAAAATCGAAACTGTGCAAGTCGTAAGAAACAGTTTGAAACGGAACGGAATAAAACAAAGTCTTGACAGTATCATCGGAATGGTTGAGAATGGCAAGGTTGACGTTGGATTTCATTTAATGTTCATGACTTCGCTTAGACACGAGCACGTTGATTTTTTCACGCCTCTGTTTCAAGCATATTTTTGCATGTACGCTAAAATACCAGAAACTGCGTATACAAAAATTCAATGGTCATCGGGCTTTCGGGTAAAGTTATATTATATGGTGTCTACACTTTTTTTTGAACGATATATATTGCGTTCGAATACATCGTATTCGTATCCCCCCGGTAAACCGCTTGAAATTTCTTTTAGATGTCTCGTAGACTTCTAATGTCCATCCAAAAGACAACTGTGGGGAGTTTTGGAGGTAAAATTACCTAAAGATGTCTTTTAGATGAACCTTAGAAGTCTATAAGACATCTTAAAGAAATCTCAAGAAAATGTGTTTACTGGGGCTGGTCGTATTCTCCACTACAGCGACATCTCTCTAGATAGACCGTGTATTATCTTATCTACAATCGAAATCACGATATTTTAGAGAAGAAAAGATAGAATAGCTTGTCTAGATAAGATGATATACGATGTAGATACCTAAAGAGATGACGTTACAATCGAGAACAAGCAACCATAACATCCTGAATGAGGAATCGTCTTTTATTAAAATTGACGGCATGGCTACGATTTCCAAGGGATGTTGAAATAAAAAGTATACAACTCCATGATCCTGCACAAGAATCTAATGGCCCCTGGAAATTTTAATTGTTTGAAATTAACATTATCAACAAAATACTCGGGAATAACGACATGTAAAGTTCATAATAGAGGGCGCTAAGGAAAAGATAGGCTCCGCCCAATCAGAGCATTCTGATCAAGTGTGATTGTAGTCCTCATTGTATGGAGTCCATCTTTGCCCTGGAACCCTCTTCTCAGCTTAGTTTTGTTAATCGCCATTATCACAGTGAAAATACGCAAATTGAAGCCAACTATATTTAAAACATATATACATGCTAAAAAGTTTCAATGGTTTCATTTTAGGTTTTTTCAGTGAATGTTTGGATTTCACTGTTTCTATTGATGATGTTAACCTTGGTATTTCTATTATTAGTTGTTGCGCAACTTAACACCAACAAATATAATTTCACCATGTTTTTCAACTTTTTCTTTCACATATGGAACACTTACTGCCAACAAGGCGATCCAGGTATGAACCAAATGAATTAATCGTCACTTTAAAAAATATTTATTATGCCTAAAATAATCAAAAATTGACTGAACTTCTATGTATGATCTTATTTAACGGCAACGCAAATTTCTTCCAATGCTATTGGTACTAAACAAATTTATTATTTGATCCCTGATAGAATTTAACATTTTTTTGAATTTGAAAAAAACGTTGTTTCCCAAACTTTTGTAAGTTAACGAAATTAAGAACGTCGAAAACTTTCGCTACCAACTTTTGACTAAAAATATCTTTTGGACTTAAGGAACTAAGCTGTTTACGTAAAGCGTGACTATTATTAGTTAAAATAATGGAACTAGTTTATAATTTCTCTAAAAATCATTATGAAACATTGT